CTGCTCCCATCGACCGTGGAAATAATGGGACCCCCACAGAATATTCCACCACTATTTAACCACACTCAGGCTGGACCCTCTCGGAACGTCAATGTAGGTGGGAAGAAACTCAAAGCTTTGAATGATAGCTCATCAGAGGAAAGCGGCACAGATGGTTGGTTCTGACTAATATTTTGAGAAACAAGTCTAGGAAGTTTAACGTTCTAGTATATATATTTGGCATGTAAAAACGGCATCGTGGGAAGTTTTTTGGATGTTGTAGTGTTTAGTGTGCTTGCGGAATAGGTTGGACCTGTATGTTGCAGGTATTTTCAGTCTGATGAAGGGGTCAAACTATCTTGTAGCCAGTTATTTATCGTAGGTCTTGGTATTGTACTCATGTTAACCGGCTAGGGGATGGTTTTTTCCTTTATGGTGATAGTTAACGTCTCTTATGTAAGAGGTTGCAATGTTCAATGTGATATATAAACCCGAAGTTTTATGTATTCTGCATATTTTGATTTCGTTACATGCTTTCTTCTAATGTATAAATGATGGAAAGCCGTCGACATATAACGTTAGAATAGCTTTATCTACAATCGATCCTAATGTTGCAATAGAAGGTTGTTTCGTAATATATATAAATAAGCACGTTAGAATAGCTTTATCTCCAATGGATCATAATGTTGCAATAGAAGGTTGTTTCGTAATATATATAAATAAGCACGGATAAATAAGATTACGTAACAATGAATATGTCCCTCGTTACCTTATCAGTAACTATTGTTAACTGCATTCAATTGGTTTATGTAATATATCTAACTAATATATTATATGTGTAGATGACATAGGGAAGAATGAGGATGACATCACAGTGGGGATGCTATTCAGCACAAGAGAAGCATTCAGACAACATATGGCAGTTTATGCAATCACAAGGAAGTTCCGGTTTAGGTGCGCAAAGTCAGAACCGGGGTTGATGGCACTAGAATGTAGTAGCCGTACATGCCCATGGCGAGTTTATGCTGTCCGCTTGAAGGAGGCTGAGGTGTTCGAAATTCGTAAGGTTGTTCCAGAACATCTATGCTCAATAGATGAACGTGGCGGATACCAATCACAAGCAACAACGGCTGTTATAGGTGAGATTTTGAGAAACAAGTATGGAACTTCCGGGTCAGGTCCTAATCCTCGCGATATTAGACAAATGATGAGGGGAGATTTAGATGTAAATATATCATACTGGAAGGCCTGGAGGTCGCGAGATGTAGCGCTGGATAACACGAATGAAGCCGATGTGACAGGTTACGCAAAGTTACCGGACTACCTTAACAAGCTTGTCACTGCCAACCCTGGTACGGTGGTAGAACTACTGACTGTCCCCCACGAACAGGGGGCCCACAGGTTCAAATATTTATTTATCGCATTCGAGGCCTCAATGAAAGGGTACGAGTACATGAGAAAAGTGGTTGTTGTGGATGGGACACACTTGAAAGGTAAGTACGGTGGATGTCTACTTACCGCATCTGCTCAAGATGGCAATTACCAGATATTCCCGCTGGCTTTTGCAATAGTTGATGGGGAGAATGACTTGTCGTGGGAGTGGTTCTTTAAACAGCTTGCAAAATTTGTGACAAATACGGAAGAGTTGGTTTTCGTATCTGATAGGCACCCTTCAATCTTCAAAGGAGTTAGCAATGTAAGAGTCACCTTCATTCGTTTAATTTACTAGATATGTTATTGACTAAAAGTTGTTCATAACAGATGCTTGAGTAATTGACATATTACATAACACATGACCATGTCATATGGCAGGTTTTTCCTTCTGCCGGACATTGCATTTGTGTTGTACATCTCAAAAGGAACATCAGGTCCAACTTTAAGGGGCGGCAGCTAGAGTATCTAGTTTCCAAAGCTGCAAGATGCTACAGAGTAGATGAATTTAACGAAACATTCAACCAGATAAAGAGTATTGATCGAAATTGTGCGGCATATCTACTGGAAATTGGACTTCACCATTGGGCCAGATCTCATTTCCAGGGGAAAGGTATAACGTGATGACTAGCAATCTTGCGGAATCGTGGAATGGAGTTTTACGTGAAGCACGGGAATTACCAATCATACGGTTGATTGAGTTCATCCGTGGAAAGCTCATGACCTGGTTTGCAAGCCGCCGGGAGCTTGCAACGAAAAATAAACACCACTCTCAACTAACCCCGAAGGTGTTTGGTCTCCTAACCAAAAATTTCGAAATGTCTGGTGGGTTTGAAGTTCTTCCTATAAGTGAGAAACAGTATGAGGTCCGAGAAAAAGATGGTGGAGGATTCCATGTCAACCTTGTAAGTAAAACGTGTAGCTGCTTTGAGTTTCAAACCCTCGCGATGCCTTGTTCTCACGCCATTGCTGCTGCCTTGGAAGGGAAGATTGGTGTGGAAACGTTGGTGTCACCAGCCTATGGGGTTAGTCAACACCGAGCTGCTTACAGTGGCAGTATATATCCTCTAGAAGGATATAAAGGCGTAGCAGATTTAGTTCCTAATCTTAATGGTCTAGCCATCTACCCACCTAGTACGAGACGACCTCCGGGAAGGCCTAAGAAGCAGAGATTCTTCTCTAAGGGAGAGAAAGTGGTAGGTTTGATTATTAAGTAAGGCACATGATTTTATATGTCGCACATATAAAATATGACCGGGTACAATTCATTTGTTAATGCAGGGGAAATTAGGACGTCGTAGGAGGGCTTGTAGCAGGTGCAAGAAGTTGGGCCACAACAAAGCTACCTGCAAGGAGCCAATATAAGATGTTGTAAAATATGTTAGAGGGGGTTATTGTTGTCTAGGGAAGATGTATGAAACGAAGGTGGAGGTTGTGGGTGGGTGGGAATGATGTACGTAACGCAGGAGGAGGTTTGTGATTGTGTATGAAACGAAGGAGGATTGAAGATGGCTTGATTTCTACGGTGGTCCTGTAAAATAACTTAATGGTTAGCAAGTCCATCTAAGGAGTAATATTAAGGAATGTATGTCGGTTGAAATGTTGAATAAAAGTACCCCCTTGTGTTCAAAAATGTTTGAAAAGAATGTACATGGATATCTGAATTTCTAACCAGGTAACGATCCATAATGGACAGTTCTTGTTCTAAGGGGTTTAATGGACGATGATACCGTAACCCGTATCACAATAAACTGATTTCTAAACCGGCTCGAAACCCTAAACCCTAAAACCTAAACCCTAAACCCTAAACCATTAACCATAAACCCTAAACCCTAAACCCTATACTATAAACCCTAAACTGTAAACCCCAAACCGTAAACACTAAACCGTAAACACTAAACCCAAAACTTAAAACCTAAACCCTAAACCCTAAACCCTAAACCCTAAACCGTAAGCCGTTATCCCTAAACCCTAAACATGCATCTCTATATCCTATACTGTAATCCTTTGAAACTAAGCTGGAGGTATTGAATCCTATAATTGGGAAACTATACAAATGTGAAAAACCTGGTTACAAAATCAAGTACGTGGATAACTGATTGCGTAACCGGCTAATCTGTAAACCCTAAAACGTAAACCCTAAACCCGATACCCTAAACCATAAACCCTAAACCCTCAACTCTAAACCGTAATTCGTAAACCCTAAACATTTAACCCTAAACCCTTAAACCTAAAACCCTAACCCCTAAACCCTAAACCCGAAACCCTAAACCGTAATCCGTCATCCCTAAACCCTAAACATCAATCTCTAAATCCTATACTGTTATCCTTTGAAACTAAGTTGGAGGTATTGCATCCTATAATTGGAAAACTATACAAATGTGAAAGACCTTGTTAGAAAATCAAGTACGTGGATAAGTGACTTCGTAACCGGCTAAAGTACATTACGCTTATTTGTCCACTAATCCTCATATGCAGAATATTATCCGTAAACCCTAAGCATTAAACCGTAGACACGAAGCCGTAAACCCTAAACCCTATACCCTTAACTGTTAACCACCAACTACATAAACCCGAAGACCTAAGCCATAAACCCTAAACCCTATACTATAAAGCCGAAACTCTAAACCCTAAACCCTAAACCCTAAAACGTCAGCTCTAAACCCTATTCCGTAAACCCTAAACCCTAATCCCTGAACATTAAACCCTAAACCGTAAAAAGTAAACCCAAAACGTAAACCCTAAACCCAAAACCCTAAACCCTAAACCGAAAACCCGTAACCCTAATCGGTCAACCGTAAACCCTAAACATGAATCTCTAAATCCTATACTGTAATACTTACAAACTGAGCTGGAGGTATTTAATCCTATTATTGGAAAACTATAAAAATGTGAAATAACTGGTTATGAAATCAAGTATGTGGATAACTGATTTCGTAACTGGCTAAAGTACATTACGCTTATTTGTCCAGTATTCCTCATATGCAGAATAATATATTTAAGCCGTAAACCCTAAGCAGTAATCCGTAGACCCGAAGCCGTCAACCCTAAACCATAAACCATTAACTGTTAAAAGTAAACCCAAAACCCTAAACCCTAAACCCTAAACCCTAAATCCTAAACCCTAAACCCTAAACCCTAAACCCTAAACCCTAAACCCTAAACCCTAAACCCTAAACCCTAAACCCTAAACCCTAAACCCTAAACCCTAAACCCTAAACCCTAAATTAAATTGAAGCCGTAAACCCTAAGCAGTAAACCGTAGACCCGAAGCCGTAATCCGTAAACCATAAACCGTAAACCGTAAACCGTAAACCCTAACCGCTGCCGTAAACCCTACGCAGTAAACCGTAGACCCTAAACACAGACCTGAAATAGTTCATGTTTAACCACAAAAGAATCAGTGAACACCCTTTCCAGTAAACAATATACGATAAAGGATACAAAACACTTTAACCGGCTAAATTATAAGCATAACAACATAATCCGATTAAGTTGGAGCATAATATCCGGCCACAAGCCTTACATAACCTAAACCATAAAAGTCATAAGTATTACTACATCATAAAAGTTGCAGTGAAATAACAATTTTACATAACAAGACAGCAACATTTGCTATCAATGTCGGATTGAATCATTTCATGGGGACGTTGTAGTTGCTTCTCCAAACTTAGAAATTCAGATTTGATTTCCGAAATTTCGGCTTTGACATCAGTAACCGTAGACTTTAAATCTTCTATCTCTTCCACCATACATTCATCGGTCCAGCTGAAAAGATGAGACTTGTCCTGGGAATTACAAGGGCAAAGGGTTATATATGGAAAGAATCAAGAAGTCTTAGACTGTCCATTTATAAAGGACTGACTTACTTCTTCAGATCCATATGGACAGCAGTGGAAGAGGCGACCAGGGTTCTTGACCGTCCGCGATGTCTTTATCACAACTTCCTCGCCACATTGACAATACTTTGGAAAACCGCGTGCTCGACGACCACGACGACGAACCCAACTTCCACTACCTACAAAAGAGGGGTCATTCCAGGGTAGAAATACTGTTAATGGATAAGGTTTGAATTTAGATACCAGATTTGGAGGAACAGGCTCCCTTTCCACAGTCACTCATGTTTGAGAATGAAGAGTAGATTTCGATATTGAAATCAGAATGGCGAGTTTTGCTGTGATGAATACCAAGGGCTCAATCATTGAAGGAGATGGTTGGTGAGTTATAAAACGACTACGTTTTGTAAATAATCTTGGTAAAAGTTTAGGCCCACAAACAAACAACCGCAAATTGGGCTAAGATAAAGTTAATAAGACAAACCAATATATTTGTCTACAACTTAGACGAAAAACTTGATGCGAGACTAACCTTAAAAGTAACCATGTAACTCAAATGACTTAACCGACTAATAATAAAAACTTATCATCTCATCTTCCAAATAACATAACGGTAATAATCCAAATTGTTAACAATTATCTGAAAACAACAAGCGAAGACAAGGGTTCATCCATCCGACATGCAGAGAAATACAGTTTACTCGATGCCATGGTATTGATCAACAATGCGCACCGCAACTTTCTCAACCTCGCAGTGAACAACGTTAGAGGTTATGCATTTACATATTTCCAATCCACCAAATGCATGTGCTTCCATTAATAGAACCGTACTTACCGCCGAGTAGTACGGTATAGGTATTTGCGGAACAATGCGTGGTCTATCAATCGAAAAAGCCTTCAACTCCCTCACGCCAATATGTTTCCCACTAATCCTTAGTAACTGAGGAAACATTTCAGCAAATGGTCCCAATTCTTTAAACATTGTCGAATCTGTCCGCTTCGAGACGTTGCAATCGAGAACTTGAAGATGGCAGTTACTCGCATCGATGCAGAGACCCACCCAATGAGTCTTATCAAAGTTAAAAGGAAAGTAAAACTTGGATGCGAAATCAATGTTGGGACAACCTGATTTGAACGTATCCAACAAGCTGGAAGGAAACTTAAACAGCTCCTTCTTTTCGGTTTTGGAATACCTAGCATAAAGCTTTGACAACTGCGATACAAACTTGGTGTCGAAGAAAACAGCCGGATTAGTTGGTATATGATCAGACGCTGATTCATATAGAGACCGCAAATGGTGGATGAGGACATCAACAACCTAAAAAGAATAAACCAGATTTTTGAATTAGAAATTATATAATTGTAAATACCCTAAACCCATTCTGCGACGTAAACGAGTCTAACCTTAGCTGGTACATGAGATGACATATCTACCAGTGCAGCAATATCTTTGCTATCAATCTTAACACCGTTCACACTGACAGAACTAAAAAAAAAAAGAACAATAGAACTGTCACTGAGGGAGTAATGGTTTATCTCCACAACATTTAATTTAGTGGACATGGTTAATCCTAGTTGTTGTCAACAAAACTTACAATGGGGTTTTAAACATCTGCGTAAGCTTCATGTATTTCTGGTTATCCTCACTGTCATCAACACTCCTAGTACGAGCCAAGTGTGCATCCCAAGCTCGAGTCAAGAATTTCTTATCACATTCATAGTCATCCATTAAACCTTTACGAACAACCTTCTGTCGCTTGCTTTTTCTGAATTGGTTGCGCAGGCCATCTTCCTCGTCGCCTGTAACGTCCAGATGGTTGTCCACAGCAACATCATCTTCATCTTTGTTCACCACTTCTGTATCCATGGTGTTGTTCTTCAAGCGTTCCTGAGTTAAGCCTAGAGAAAAGAGTGGGTCCTCGCAAATAACCGCAGGTTCCATAGTCTGCATATGAAGACTTATTAACATAGTTTGAAAACACATATAAAGTGGAGATGAAGAAGATTGACACTAACATCATACCGTTGTTGGTCCATCAGCAGTAGCAATGTTAGAGGTTCCCGCCTCATTACCCACTACTTGAGGACGATCAGGATTGACCCTACGGATAACCTCAATTGGGGATGCCTAAATCGTATGTACAAAATCATGTAAGCAACCATGACAGTTACATTATGTGGCCGGCTAACTAAACTTTCAAACAGCTACAAATTACATTAGCTAAACATCGGGATAAATACAAATCAAGAAGATCATTAAAGGTGCGCATTTTTATAGTCAAGGCCATGTTACCATATTGTCAGCAAAACGCGTCGCACTGTCAATGATCTGATCAGCAGCGAGTCCACCATTTGTTGGTGATGAGGGTTGGCCAACTTTTGAGTTTTCTCCGCGGGTGTGTCCTTGTAATACCTGTTCCAACTCCAAATTAAGCTGCATGTAATTGAGAAATAAGATTACAAGTATTCCAGTTATTAGACAGATATATAAACTTACATCATTTTGAGGGGTAACACGTGCTTCATTGTGATCACCGAAATGTGTTGTGAAAGTCACGGGGCCATCTTCGTCTCTCCTGTCAGCGCCAGGTTTTGCTTTCGAATTTAGTATCTGCAACTCGAAGTTCTTCAACATCGTTTGTACACACTTCACAATACTCGTTTCCATAGTCGAAAAGGCTGCTCTAAATATCTTCATATCTGTTGCCATTGTAAAAATATTTTCGGATACTCGGTTAACCTCTTCTGATAATCGCTTTAAATCAGGTTCTAAACGAGCTTTCACGACAGTTGCAATGGATTCTACATCATCAAAATCAGAAGTCGGATTCCGTGATTTTGTTTTCTTTCCCTTACGCACTTCTGCTTCGTTTCTTGTGTCTTCCCTCATCCTCTGAACGTCGTCTTTTGAAACCCCACCGGTAAAAATTGAAGGATTGAAGGTATACCCATCTTCAATTAACTTCATAAGATTGTGTACACCAACATCGTCTTCTTCATCGGACCAACCTAATTGTGCTTCACTAACAAAATCTGTATGCGGAAGTGAGATAATTGAACATACTGAAGCCTGCATAAGTTAAATATACAAATTATGATAAATCTAAACCATTGTAATAAATCGATACTAAACTTTCTCCATTGTCACTTCCGACCAACTAATTACCTTTCCAGCAACGTCCGTTTCACGAGCATGGCCTGGACATATACTTCGTTTCCCACTTCTGTCATCATCGCCATATTCTTCCTCATCACTATATTCGTTATCTGATCCTGACGAACCTCCTTCACGAACACCTTCTGTAATAGCAGGCACAGCTTCAATCATTACAAGCTGTAATGCAAGGACAAATCCCTTTAGAGCGATAGTGTTTTGGGATAGAGATACTTCGTTTCTCTCTTTGATACTGGTGATAAGCAACTCAAAGGAGACACGACCCCATGGGTATGCCAAGAACGCTTCCAAATCTTTAATCTTCTCCGCATAATCATGAGAAATCCGAGGTGTATGCGTTGTGGGAAGAACTACTGCCGAGAGTAGAGCAAGAAACGCATATTTTATACGAGTTTGTTTATCAGTTACGCTCCTATTTCTCAGCATCCTTAACACTGACGTGACGGGGACCTCCTTCAAAGTTCCGAAAAGCTCCGCCCAGTATGGCCTCTCCTCTACTGCTCTCTTTGCTTTACTTTTTCGACGCGGAGGAAATTTGTCACAGTTAAGGCCGGTTACTATGGCAAATTCCCTCAGTGAAAACCGAATTGGTTTTCCTGCAAACAAGAACCACGCTTCATATTTCTTCTTCACCTTCAATTGCCTGGAGATAATATATCTACCAAATCTACCCGAAAATGTTGGTTTTTCTGCAATTTCAACAAGTTTGCCGAAAGGGGAACTACGCAGAACTTGAACTTCATCTTCATCCAGTGACCGAATAATATCGCGAATCGCAAATGGTTTGTGATACGGCGTTACTCTGACACCCACGGGTTCGTCGCCAACAGCAAACATCCTTTCCGGTACTCTCTCCGGCGCCTCCCCTTGAGAACAATTTCTCATTTCCATTTTTTCCGTTTTTCGACACTGTTGATCCTCTTAATCTGGAAAGAAAATGGATTCTCAGAAATAAAATGACCTCTCCTCAAACAATTTCAATACTCAGACGATTTCAAATTTCAAAATAAAGCTCTCTCTCTCAAACGAAATCTCCATCTGACACTAGAAGATATCCGTATCTTTCGAAATCTTTATAAAGATTTCGTTATCTTTTCAGAATCTTTAACATCATAGCGTAACGTAGGGGTAACAGTGTCCATCTCTTTTTGTGAACAGTTACGAAAAGTATC